TACCATTCATTGCAACCAATAATTGATTCATTGGTCTCAATGCCAGCGATAGTTAATTACAAATTGAAATTAATGCTAAACTTGTATTGATATTAACGTAAATATCTTTGAAAACTCAAGACATAGAAATTGTGGTGAGTTTTAAGACTTTTTTGTTGTTTTGTTTGCGATTAACACAAAAATGTGGTAAAATGTAAAAACAAATTCAGGGATAAAGACTCGGTGCCAATTGTGCCGATGCTTTACGCATACAATACATGTTTTATTAAACAATTTGTTTTCAATATTTCAGATATTTAGTAATCATTATGTTTATCAAGTATTTTGTTTCTGTTTTTTAAATATTATAATTATTTGTCATAAAATTTAATTACAATTTACACGAAATAACTAATACTTGTATTGAGTTTTTGGCATTAGTTTTACAGTTATATTAAAACTTTTAACAAACATTTGCATTGATTTAGTGGTGAATTCTTTGCACTTTATTTCTTAATCTAATCTCAATTTTTATCTCAAATTTTAAAAATGCATTCATTTATTATTACTAAACATTTTATTTCGCAATTTTTATAGATAAACTCCAGAATTACTTTTTATCTGAAATATTTGAAAAAAACTATTGTTTTCAAATCAATCGATGAAATGTGTGACAATTGATGTCTGATATGACCGATCTATTGGCAACACATCTCCCAATAATACCAAAACTCATTCACACAATAAGTTTTCAATTTAAACAATACTTTTAAAAAAGTTGTGAATTTAACCCAAATGTTCACTTTATAGTAAACACTTATTCAATAAGTTTTCTCTATATTTAGTAATCTTTTAGTAGTTTTACTGTAATTATAGAGAAGTTTGCATTTTGGAGATGAAATGAAACCTCCAATTGAACTCAATTTTCAAATCACATTTAATTATTATTATTATTATTTCTCTTCGTTTCTGTCATTCACTTGAGAAAACATTTGGTTTAACTTAAATATATTCTAACCGATGATTACAAGTAATAAATATCTACTAAATATATGGTAAATATGCCAAATGTTGTATCATTTTTAGAACAATACAACATATGATGGACAACATACATACAAAATATTAGTAAACTATAAAATTGAATTATTTAAATTAACATGCTTGTGTATAAATTTATTTATGCAAAAAAAAGCTCAATTGTCTGATGGTTTTGATATTCAATGCTTATTTGTGGACACAATTAAATGCATAATAAATGAATATAACTGTATTTTATTACTATATATTCAGTGAATATTTTATACTTAATCTAATAAATGTAAATGCATTTCTAGACTTCATTAAAAATGTGTAAATTAAAAGTTTTTATGGAATATTAAATTACTTTATGCATAAAAAGAGGAGAGAGAGAGAGAGAGAGAGAGAGAGAGAGAGAGAGTTTATAAAATGAAATCTTATAATTTTCTCTGATTTCCCTTGAGCCTTTGTTTTGAATCAAACAATTTTAAATAGTATTATTATAATTAATGTATAAAAGTAATTGAAAATTGAGACTTAGATCACAAATGTATCATCAAATATATAATTTGAATTTTTTGTGTTCTTTTGTGCTTTTTTATTGCAAAACTTTGAGAAATGATGGATAGAAATGGTATAAATCAATGGACTATATGTCAGGGAATTCAAGTAAATCAATGAATATGTGACTCGTGAGGGATAATCTGTTTTTTATAAATATCGATATCATTAGTGAATGCAATTGAAAGAGAATGAAACGAAGAAAAAGACTTGTCTTTAATCCCTGAACTAATTATTGTTTCCATCAAATGAAACATTATTGAGGACTCGTTTATAAATACAAAATCACACAATTAAATGATTTGACATTTAAATTTTGAAACCAAATTTCAATATATATTTAAAGTGGAAATTACATTATATTTGTTGCGGTATTTATTATTCATTTGTAAATGCAATTCATTAAATGTTTTTAACTTATTAGTTTATATTTGAAATATATTAACAATTTTATAGACTTTATTCCGAGTTTACTGAAAATATTACTCTTTATTAGGGAAAGTAGTGCTAAAATGAGTGAATATTCAGCTCTATTCTTTGGTGCCGCTGTTATGGATTTAATAACGTGAGTCTTTATAACAAATGTTATATTAATTAACATTAAATTGAATAACTGTTTGGCGCAGATATACGGAGCGATTCCCAGAGCCGGGAGAGACGGTTAGTGGCAAAGAATTTCGTAAAGGAACGGGAGGTAAGGCTTCCAATGCCTGTGTTATGAGCGCCAAACTCGGATTGAATGCCGGAATGCTGGCCAAAGTATTGTCACTTTAATATTATTCAAATGTATTTATTTTAATATTTTAATATAAAATAATGACCAATAGATTGGAGACGATTTATTTGGTCGTGAACTCCTCGATAACTATAAGAAATATAATATTAATATTGGTATGAAATACAGACATTAACATACATTACATTAATATACAATTATAAGTATACTATTATATTAATTATTATATTATTTTTTTAGATAACGTTTTGCTCACCAAAGATGTCTTTACAGCGACCGCAGCCATTAGTGTTGCAGACAGTGGTCTGTATTTTCTCATACTTTCACATATTTTTACATTTTTCATAAATTGATTTTTGAAAGTTTGATAAATGATCATATTGAATTGATAGGCCAGAATACCATAATCTATATTCCCGGACCAACTAATGCATTAATGCCCGATGAAATTTCATCAATTGAAGCCAATCTATTCAATGATAATTGCAAACTATTTGTGCCAACATTTGAATGTCTTCCCCAAACACTACATCGAGTGCTGACTATAGCCCGCAAAAG